TATCGGCTTGGCACTAGACGCAGCTGCAAACCTGAATTCATCAGTCCATCGTCCCAATGACACCACAAATCTCACATTGCTGCTGCCTAATTCAAGTATTTCAGCTTTGCAAACCGTATTCATTCAAAGCTCACACCCGGGTCTGCTTGGACTTGATTTGTCAGAACGACAGCCAAATTGAACTCTTCGGATATCTTTTGAAGACGAGACAGGAATTGGTTAAGTTTCTACCGTCATGTCAGTATCATCCGAAGCCGACCTCGGTGCCAACCTGCTGGCGCTCTGACAGTTCCCCTCTACCTGAGTAGTCTTGACCTAAGTGACCTATCAGACTGCTCTACCCTAGTAAGTTCTATACGCACGAAACAGGTTCATTATACTGTCCACAATGAGCAGCTTGTATGTCCTGTCTTCGACGAAACTACGACAATCAGTGATGTACAGTAATTATGTTATGACCGACCGGATGGCAAGATCAACGAGCATTTCGCATTGCTGCTCAGAGCTCCAAGCACGCGCCACCAAAATGTTTTCGAGTGCCATGCTGCTGTCCACGCCAAAGCGGTCCGCAATGCTTTTGATTCGGTCAGGACGAAATGTTCCCCTTGGCCAAGCTTAGCAATTGGAAGTAGGGCACAGAATGAAAATCACCCACTCGGTGTCCATGTAAGCGACTTTGCCACTTGCCCCACCTTGATCCTCAGGCAATTGAGTGGCCACGCAAATAGTATGGCACAGTTGCGTCTTCGGCTGGGTAAGCTACAACACCGTGCTGGCTCTCACCTTCCCGGTCCGGAACTCGCCAAAGACCTCTGTGATACTCTGGGTAGAGATACCGCCCCCCAACATAGCGTCCACTGCTTTCGATCCGGTCGAAATGTAGAACACATTTTGTCGGCGATCAGACAATTCAGCAGCAGTCAGGAAGGCCGGAGGCTGCAATATTCTTGTCAATTGATATTGGTGTATTACTCGTCACACTCACAAGCAGTTTCTGTGCTGTCTCCTTTGGGCGATGAGTGATCGTTCAAGAGTGAGAGGAGTCATACGTACTTTAATTTTCTCAACCTTAGCCTGCTTTTGTCAGCAAGCAGGACTAGATTGGAGCGTAAAACATGCGTCGGAAAGACCCTGCTCCTTATCAGCTTGGCGAACGGTGAAGGGATCACGGTTAGCTGACCTTGATTTTCAGCAGGTTCTTACGTGGCGTTTGCGCCACTCCCAGAACTGTCACGATTCCCGCAGCTTTCAACTTGAGTATGTCTTGCACATTGATGCCCTGCATTAGTTAGGAAAAGTTTTTACGGATAATCTGTGTACAACAACATGACGTGATTGTAATGGAGGCGAAAGGAAGGAAGGAGAGACAGTGGAAAAGACTCACATGTGCTTGAAGTTCGTCCACCGCCTAGAGCGAGATGACACAGTCAGCGGGAGGCAGTATCGCTCAGTGAGGCAGTTACCTCGTAGCCTGAGACACCCTCCTGTTGTCAAGAGTCAGCTTCAGTTCGGAAGACCTCCTCTTGTGTCACGCGCACGGGCCTCCTGAAGGCAAGCTGTGTTCACGAAGAGATGCTTATTGCACAGAGCGCTTTTTGGGATGAGGAAGAAATATAGTAGAGTCCACTTGTGAAGGCTCTTTCTGGATCATCCTGATAGGACTCTTGTTTTCGGAGTTCAAACTCACCTCGTCGCCGTTGTCAGACATCGTAAAATGAGGTTGTCTTGCGATGCTAGTCTAGTCAACTGAAGTGTGCTGTGAATCAGAGAGCGAGGTCACTTGAAGAAGCAGTCGTCAATTGAACTAATATGAAAGTATCAAGGCTTTCCTTGAGGATAGATTGAATGAAGAAAAGGAGGAGAGAAAGAAGCTGAAGAGAGAAAGAAAGAGGCGAACATGTTGAAACCCATCGTTCCTGCCTGAAGCAGTAAGATCCCGTTATCTCCCCATCAGCCCAAAGAGGTAATTCGGTAAGATCGGCCGGGTCGCGGGTTGGTGGAAAAAAAAAAGTTGGTCGACCAACCGCGAGTCGAGTATTGCTCAACAAGGTGTTGTCTTCGTATCCACTATCACTTAACGTCATGCTCAGCCCAGCTCGGGTACGCCCTGTGGTGCGTGCAAGACTCACTAGGGGTCTCGCTACTCCCGCGAGCCTCCCTGTGAAAGATTGTACCTCTATCACTCCACCTTATCCCCGGTTGCTCAAGACGCTGGACGATGTTCGGAGAGTCCTCCCAAGAGGATCCAAGCTCACTCTGGCGGAGAAGATCCTATATGCACATCTACGGAACCCAGAGGAGAGTCTTGGAGGAGGTGGAAAGGTTAGAGGAGAGAGGTACTTGAAGCTTCGGCCAGACAGGGTAGCTATGCAGGTGGGTGCGTGTTTACAAACCAAGTGCTGAATTGAGAAGGACGCATCTGCCCAAATGGCTTTATTGCAATTCATGACTTGCGGTCTACCATCTTGTGCTGTGCCTGCATCTATCCACTGTGATCACTTGATTCAAGCCCAAACGGGAGCCCAAGACGATCTCTCACGCTCCATCGAAAACAACAAAGAAGTGTTTGATTTCCTTGAATCTGCAGCACAGAAATATGGTATCGAATTCTGGAAACCAGGAAGCGGGATCATTCATCAGATCGTATTGGAGAACTACGCAGCACCGGGTCTGTTGATGTTGGGCACAGATAGTCATACGCCCAATGCAGGTGGATTGGGAATGTTGGCTATCGGTGTTGGAGGTGCAGATGCAGTGGACGCATTGACAGATACTCCATGGGAGCTCAAGGCACCCTTGATCACTGGAGTCAAGTTGACTGGAGAGCTCCAAGGATGGGCTACACCCAAGGATCTAATCTTGCATTTGGCAGGAAAGCTCACAGTACGAGTGAGTTGTTTGGCTCTTTACCTTAGCTGGTGGTGGTACTGACGACGAATCAGGGAGGTACGGGTCGTATCATCGAGTACTTTGGTCCGGGTGTTTCTGCACAGTCATGTACTGGTCTTGCAACTATTGCCAACATGGGTGCAGAGGTAGGCGCAACCACCTCGACCTTCCCATATTCCGATAACATGCGCTCGTATTTACACGCAACGGGTCGAGGTCCTGTGGCGCAGGCGGCGGACGAGGCAGCACAAAGTGGATTCCTTTCGGCGGATGAGGGTGCAGAGTACGACGAGGTCATCGAGATTGTACGTATTCCAGAAGCTCATTGCTGACACTCAGAACCTTTCGGAACTCGAACCCCATCTGAATGGACCATTCACTCCAGACCTTGCCACACCCCTGTCCTCGTTCGGCTCATTCCTCCAAACCAACGACTATCCAACTACCCTCTCTTCGGCCCTCATCGGATCGTGCACCAACTCGTCATACGAGGATATGTCTCGTGTGGCTTCGATCGCACGTCAGGCTAAAGAAGCTGGTCTCACATCCAAAGTCCCATTCTTGGTCACCCCAGGCAGCGAGTTGATCCGTGCTACCATCGAGCGGGATGGACTGCAAGGTACATTGGAGGATGTTGGTGCCACAGTGTTAGCAAATGCGTGTGGACCTTGTATTGGGCAATGGAAGAGGGACGAGAAGAAAGGAGAGGATAACGCAATTCTTACATCTTTCAACCGAAATTTCAAAGCTCGAAATGACGGTAATCTCAAAACAATGAACTTCCTTGCTTCACCGGAGATCGTCACTGCCATGGCATTCTCCGGAGATCTCACCTTCAACCCTACGACCGACTCTATCGAAACTCCCAATGGCCCTTTCCGATTCTCTGCTCCTACAGGAGAGCGATTACCTCCATCTGGCTATATTCCCGGCGACTTGTCTTACGCACCTTCACCATTACCTGTACCCGTTCCTGAAACTGAGATTGCCATAAGTCCAAGCTCTTCTCGATTAGAAATCTTAGAACCTTTCGGTACCAACTTCCCTTCTGGCTCTGGTGAGCTCTCAGGGAGATGCTTAATGCGTGTTCGAGGGAAATGGTGAGTACTACTACATATCAATAGCTGATAGACTAGTACTACGGACCATATCAGTGCTGCAGGCGCATGGCTCAAATACAAAGGTCACTTGTCAAATATCTCGGAGAACACCTGTGAGTTGCTCTTTTTGCATTTGTTCCCATGACCCTACTGACAAGTCAGTAATGACTGCTGTGAACGATGAAAATGGTCAAATCAATTCTGCGAAAGATGTCAATGGCGAGGAAGACACTATTCCACGTACAATGCAAAAGTACAAAGCGCGTGGCGAACCATGGATGTTGGTAGTTGACGATAATTGTCAGTCACTTTTTTTACGTCAATAAATCTCCAGCTGATCATATAAAATACAGATGGAGAGGGATCGGCAAGAGAACATGCCGCATTACAACCTAGGTTCTACGGATGTGGAATGATCTTAGCTCGAAGTTTTGCTCGGATACACGAAACTAACCTCAAGGTATGTCCATTATCGCTGTTACTACACATCATCTTTATTGTTTTCCTATGCTGATGATTATGTAGAAACAAGGTATTCTACCACTTTGGATCTCGGATAAAGCAGATTACCCAAAGATCTCAGCACACGATCACGTAGAGACTATTGGTCTCAAAGACGTTCTCGAAGGGACTGCCACCTCTGACAAGATCATTCTGAGAGTGACCAAGCCCGATGGAACTACTGTCGAGGTTGAGGCGAGACATACTCTCAGTGCGGACCAGGTTGAGTGGTTGAGGGCGGGCAGTGCTTTGAACTGGATCGGAGAGCAGGGTAGGCGAAACGCTGCGGGTCTCGAGGCTGCTGCATGAGTTCTGGGGTGATTAGCTTAGGGTCCAGCGGACAGCACGATCTATTTCATATGCATGGGCCTATTATGGAGTCCATCTTCTTGATTCAGGGGTCGGGTTGCCTGCCTAAAGAATAAATACTCTTAACAGGAAAAAGGTAGCTGGCAAGAAACGAAAACAAGAGAATTCAAAGGTTAAAGTACAAAAAGAAACAAAAAAGTTTATCAAGACCTGGTCTCGATCCAGGGACCTTTGGGTCGCGTAACACGTAAGTGCTTATGAGCCCAATATTCTTCCAACTGAAATATCTTGATGTTTCAGTCCAAGCCAAGTTTTTCTCATGTTTATATACCCGTTTTACAAAGATATGAAAACCTCAATGCAGTTCTGTTGTGCCCCTTCCTGAGCAGGAAGCATCATTTGCTTGTTCGACTACATCATAATGTCAAATCACAAGATGCGGCCAGCCGGTTCCAACTCGCTTCCCATGCCTTATTCACTGGTCCCGCAACCTCGAAGGGAGCAGCGGCAGCCTATGAGGTAAGTATTGGCTTCTTTGATCATCGCGCGAGAGTATACTGACCATCATGTCTTGTTTCACAGAACGTCAAAGCTTGGCACCAGTGAGCGCCAGATTTCCGAGGCATATATGCATAGCTAATTATGTGCAGAACTCAAGGTCCTACCCACACAACCTGAGACTCCAACGATTCCCGAGGAAGACGAGGAAGATGAGGAAGAAAGAGATGGACAACGAATGCAGCAGGATGAAGGGGGTGTAGAGGTCAGTCATTCAGGGAAAGATTATAATAGTCAAGACTAGCTCTGACACGGTACAGTTCTACACGCCTTTATCGCAAATCCCTGCTGGAACTGCTAGGAGAGATGCGCAGAAGTTGACAAAGACGGAAAAAGCTAAGCTACCAAGAGTGACTGCATATTGCACTGCAGCGTAAGTGACGAACCCACGCCTCATTCCATTTCAAGCTTATTCCGTACAGGTCATACAATCTTCCTGCACTACAAGCCTACCTATCTGCCCGAGCCTCATCATATCGAACCCATCCTAGAATGTTTGACACTGAATGCCTACACACTCCATATCTACCCCCTCCATCCGCCTCTGCACATTTCCGTTCTCCAAATCTCAAACCCTCAAATGACCAGCCACAGATCCCCGAAGCGGATCTGCTTAATCTCAATGATCCTCCTAAACGTAGTCCGAGCCGGGAAGCGAAACGCCGCACGGGATTTAAGAAAAACCCAGGTGGTCAGAGGAAAAGCACGGCGGAAGACGGCGTCGAGAGCGAGAATGACGATGACTTTGAAGAGGAGGAATGGGTACCAGACGTGTTTATGTTTGAGTATGGAACAGTGGTCATCTGGGGAATGACCGAGAAGGAGGAAAAGTCTTTCTTGAAGATTTTGTGAGTAATTAGCGAAAAGCTTTAGCTGACCGAATAGGAAAAAGTTCGAAGTCGAACGGTTAAGTCATGAAGACGTCGAAATGGAGGATCTAAATTTTTACTATGCCGACTACTCTCGGTGGGTCATGAGGATAGTTGGGCGAATGACGCTGATCTTTTAGAATTTACAACGATGTCATCACGCTCCGAAAGGGCTCGTCATATATGTGGGTCTCTTCTCCGGGTCAATAAGCGGAAAGGGAACTGAATAGAGCAGGACGAAACTCTCGTTGTCACATGCGCTGTCACAATCCGTCAAAATCTCGCTCTTTGAAGAACTCATCAGCAGTACCATCGAACAGACCAAAGATATCCCGCGGAGTCTGTCAGAAACAGGCAAAATTGGCGTGAGTCTCCTGACTCTTCCTTCCGTAGCCGAACTGAGTTTTTCAGCTGCCGCGGAGCGAGATCATGAAACAGATCGGCAATCTGTTCATTCTTCGAATCAACATAAATCTTGTTGGATCTATCCTCGATTCACCTGTAAGTCCTTGACATTACGATAGGGACATCTGCTGATATCTCATAGGAGTTTTTCTGGTTCGTGGGCTGTATTCTACTACAACTGTGACTGACAAAAGCAGGACATTTCCCGATCTTGAACCGCTCTACAACGCCGCCCGATCGTATCTAGAGATCGGTCAGCGAATAGATCTCCTCAATGCGCGCGTGGATGTAAGTAAAGATAGCTTGCAGAAGACATCTTAGCTGACAAATGTAATAAAAGGTCTTGCAAGATATGCTCAAACTCCTAAAGGAGTCGGTTAACTCGTCTCATGGCGAACGACTCGAGGCTATTGTCATCTTCCTCATGTACGTCCCTGCAAATCTTTTCAGCCCAACGCTAACACCTTCCTAAGCGGTATTGAGATTGTGCTTGGTATAATCACTATTTTGGTCGACCTCAGCTTTTCGTAGATGGTTGTATTATTTGTAGCTTGTAGATGCTCTGCACTGCGTGATGATCCATCGCCACCCTCGTGACTTTAAAGGGCTGGTCAAATAAAATTTACAGTCAGGCTCGAAAACACTTCTTTTTCTTCGTTTGCTATGATCGCTTGTCGTCCAGTGACAAGGCAGGGATGAATAGACGAAACATCTCGGCAGCTCTGCCGGGCAAGCCGTACACCCCACCGGCGAGCATGGGGCCAGCACCTCCTCTTCCGCCTGGTCCACCACCCGCTCAGCAGGCGTATCCTCAGCAGGCCGACCAGGGACAAGCGCATGCTGCTGCTTGGGCAGCGTATTACCAGGTTAGTCCTCTGGTGTACCACTACGTTCTTCGGCTGTACTGACACACCGTAGGCGCAAGGCATTGCTGCACCTTTGACATACGCTGCATCCCCTCAAGCGGCCCAGCCGGCGGCACCAGCTCAGGCATCAGGCAGCAATCCTTACGCCAACTATGGCTATGGTGCTGGCGCTCGACACGGAAATGGACAAGCTGCCTTTCAGGGCCAAGCAACGGGTTCAATAGGTCCAAGTCAGCCTTATCGACCGCCTGTCAGTGCTCCTGCCCAGCCATACGCCGCGCCCACACAACCCGCTGCCGCCTATGCTCAACAGTACCCACAGGCGGCTGGGGCGTATCAGGGTCAACAAGCTTATCCAGCCCAACAGTATCCGGCTCAGCCAGTCTATGCAGGGCAGCAGCAACAACCGTATGCAGGATGGCCAGCACAACAACAACAGGGCTATACTGCACCTGCCCAGGGCCAGGCGTACCAAGCTCCCGCACCACAGCAGCCTTTCTATCCTCAAGCTCAACAATCCCAGCAGTACACTCCCCAACCCCAAGCGAATTCCTCGCCATATCGCCCACAGACTCCCACACCGATGCATAATCAAAATCGTCCTTACCAACCTCAACCTGGCCACCGCCTTCCTTCGGGTCCTGGGCGTCCTCCAATGACCGCACCTACTGGTCCGCAAGGCGGGTTTCCTCCTGCCAAGCGGCCTCGCTTTGATGGACCTGGTGGAATGAATGGTATGGCTGGTATGGCACAACCCAACCGGCCACCAGTCCGACCCGCCGTGCGGCCCGGTCCCAACATGGGTCAACCTGGCTTTAACGCTGGTATGGCGCGTCCTCCTGCCGCCAATCGTGCATCTGTTCCCCCTGTGGTCCGACCTCCTATCCGCTTAGGTATGGGTGGACCACCGCCCAATCTAGGGCCAAGAGGTGCTGTGCCTATGCGAGGACGAGGGGGTGGGCCGGTGAATGCTCCTCGTGGTCCGGCAAACATGCGCAGAAATGATAGGGGCGGTAGTGTTGCCAAAAAGGTCGACAGCAAGTCTGACCGCGATAAGGAGAAGAAGCATAGAGATAAGGAGAAGGAGCTCAAGACCACTATGACCGACTTCAGGATTGTCGGAATCGAGATGAAAGAGCTTGGCTGGAAATGGGGTCTAGTCGATGGTCAAGATGACAAAGCCGATGTGGTAGAAGAGAAAGAGGATGTACATGAAGACGAGGAGAAAGAACAGCCAAAAGAGGAAGAGTCAGGCCCAAAAGTGGAACCTGAGGATGCAAAGAAAGAGGCAGACCAGGTCAATGGCGAGAATTCTGAGGAAGCCACAGCTGAGACGTCAGAGCTCAAGGTCGAGGCCAAAGCTGAGGATGCGCCGGATACCAACGGAGGAACCGAGCCTGCGGTGGATGTTCATGCACAAACCGTGGAACAAGATGCCACTGATGTTGGAGTGGAAGAGAAGCGTGGCGAGAAGCGCAAAGCCAAGACCCCAGACGGAGGTGAGATTCTGTTAGTTTGTGCACGCAAAACTAATTGGTAGATGACGACGAACATTCAAACAAACGACCCGATTACCATCTCACGCACAATAAGCCTACTCAAGGGAACCACGAATCCAACTCCAATCGCTTTCGCATCTACTTTGAGTCGCCTCCGGAGCTCGACCGAATTCCCAAAGCGGCCAGGAGGAATCCAAACAAACGCTGGAAACGCGAATCTAGCAGTGTTGCACCCAGTCGAGCTGAAGATGTCGAAAATGGCGATGTCCCTGTGGCGCCCGAGGAAAGTAGGGATGAGGATGAGGTTGCGGGAAACACCGAGGCTAAGGATGGAGTCCTCACTGCTGAAATTACTGGCGAAACACCCGTCCCTAACGATCTGGATCCCGCTGAAACAATTACGGCTATCGAAGCACAAGCAGATGACGCAATTGCTCTTCCTCTTGAGACTCCCATCGATGTCACAGTGAAGACCACCAACACTGAGGTGCTACTCGACGCCGCCATTGCTGCTGTTGAAGCCAGACCTCCTGTTTCGGCACCGGCGACGACAGAAGATGATCCTAAAGGTGAAGACGCAGCGTTACCCAACCCTGAGGAGACAACTACGAGTGTGTTAGAAGCACTGCCTCCTCCCGAGGCCACTTCGGTCGGCGAAGAAGTGGTAGAGGTTGGCGATATATCGATGGTGACAGATCCAGGAATCGTTGCTGATGTCGTCGCGTCGACGGAGGAGGCCGTGGCGGCTGACACAGTCCCTGAAGCTGTCGAGGAGCCTTTGACGCAGGTTGAACCTGCTCAAGACGCTCAAGACGCTCCTGCAGAGAACAGCGGCGAACCTACTGCTCCCGTCGAGACTGCGCCTTCCTCCGAAGCGACTCCCGTACCCGATGCTTCTGCAGCTGAGGTCGAGTCGACCCTTGCGAAATCAGCTGAAAACGCTGCGTCTGCGTATAAGTCACGGACACGACGCCGATCATCGGTCAGCTCGATTGACTCTCGTGACGAAGATCCCGAGGCAACGCTCGATGGACCATCGTTCAACCGCCTGAGTATATTGTACGAGGATAGTAAGCGACGACTATGCTTTGATGCG